TATTCTTGAATTAGTTGTATCTAACGCTTAAAATACTATGGTGACAATCAGTACGTATAGTACCTGTAATGTTGTGAGGGAGGAAACGAGAAAGATACCAAACCACTGACGGCCGGACGGCCTCCAAAAATAACCAAAGAAAATGGAAACGCTTGTATTACCGTATTTCATTAAAAACATTAACACTTAAAAATGAGATGAAAAACAAAATTACAATTATTTGAAATTTTTTTACAGTGAAAACTAAATTTCTCTCGAGAATATTCATTGTGGGCGGCCAGGTTGGTTGTTGCCATGGTAACTTTTTGCCCCAGACACACCGCGTCTCCCAAACGGATAAATTACGTCTGGCATCTTGGACAGAAATATATTTTACAGGAAGTAAAGAGACAAAACACACTGGTCTGACATGTGACATTGTCATCTGGCAACTGTCTTTACGCTGCGTGTGCTATAGTGTGTCAGATTCTTCACGTGTTAAGTTTGACTCTCACTCTTACGCTGTTTAGAACAACAATTTCATGTTGTTTACTTGGCGGTAGTTTTTAACTTGTATTTTAAGGCATGTTTAAAATTTATTTATGATAACGAGTGACAAAAAGTCACCCTTGAAAAATATGTTCACGCTCAAGTTACTGGCTCCCTACTGCAATATTTTTACTGAATTAATGATTGATAATTCAGTGAACAATGTTATAAAATTTATAGGAATAATTAATTATGATGATGATAACATTATTAATCATTAACATAATTTAGATAATTCTGTGACTGAATAAGTGAATACTGTATACTATAAACCCAATAATTGGTAATAATCTTCGTGGTGTATCGAAGAGTGTATCATTAACCTAAGTTTATCATCTGCTTACCTGTAATTATCATTTTATGAGTTTATCCGACTGAGTTAATCACAGCTGAGGTGATATGATGGTATGGGTGTTTAAATTGACTTTCTTGGTGAAATAATGTGAAATATAGTCACACACACACACACACACACACACACACACACTATATAAAGGTAGTGTTGAGGCTGTCCTCACACAACGCCGACCGTCGACCCTTGTTAGACGCCCACACTAGTGAACTCGGTCGTTGGCCACACCTGAAACCCGTAGTGACTCGTGAGCTATATGTAGCAGCTGGACAGCCTTACCCTATTGCTGAGTAGCAGACGTTTGTCTGGCATTACTTCTAGGCTGAGTTCCAAGACATTGCCAGCCCAGAAGGTGACAACGAACTACTGCTAATTTTGATCTGAGTTGTTCAGAGAGTAACGTTAACTCGAATGACTCGTAATTCAACTGGGAAGCCCCTAGTGGATGTAGTTGGCTCAGATGCGGTGTGAGTGAGCGGTCTGGTTTGCCTGAAAGAGGTCTTATGCCCGTGCCATTCAGGAGTGATGAACTAAATCGGTTATATCATTCAGTGCAGCTGTCGTGGCCACAGCGTCCACCACCATACAATATTTACCTCCAGCTGAATTTCTTGAGGGGAAATTAGTTTTATACTCCAAAATAACACAGTCATGTAACAGCTGTTTTATTTTTCATCATATGTTGAGGATGACGTGTTAAAAACTTTCTTTCAAGTTCTTGTACTGCAGGTTAGTCAGTCAGTCAGTCACTGGGTCAAGAACACGTCTCTAACTTCCCCGGAAGATCCTCACTCACAACATTATTGGCATATACTAATTTTCATCATAATACTTTAAGCGGCAGACGGAGGTGCGCATATAACTAATTCAAGGATTCTCTGACCGATCTTACGCATGTTCTGTAAGAGTCTGCTGGTCTGGTGTGTTATACCAGTAATCACTGAGTGACCAGTTATCTTCTTACAGCGGCCAACAGTTTTATCCAACAGTGACGGGCGTTTTATGGTGTAATGTGTGTGTGTGTGTGTGTGTGTGTGTGTGTGTTACTTTTAAACCTTATCTAACCAATCGTTAACAAGACCCATCCAAACTAACTCAATCTAATAAAATTGTAATAATACAAACACTATGAAACGACGTTCACTTTGCCTTATCTGTGCACAAGTCTAGAGTACTCTCTATATGTATTGTTTAGAAGTTGAAGTGAACCACAACACGTATTCTGTTACCCTTCACCCATAAGAACACGCTTACATGTTTCAGTTATCACTATGTAAACAATAATTACCATAGTGTAGTTTCTTATTGTGCCATATTAGTAAATGTCTTCACGTTGTAAGGAAGATGCACCTACAGTAAATATGACAGGAAAAAATCCTTTCTATGCCATTAACCCCCCCCCCCCTCCACGGAAGATAGACACTCAGCTTGGAAGACGATAACAATTAAATTTCACATACTGTACATTAATTTTTTTTTCAATAATGGACGTGTGTCAATGTTGTTCACATCTTCATAAAAACTGGCTGTAATTCTCTAGTGCGGAAAATCCCAAGGAGCAGTTATGTAACGTTACGCCTGAGGAAGTTCTCTGCCTTAAGTTACAGCAGTACAGTACATGCATCCTTGACTGACAGTCCCCACCACCAGGAACCTGTTCAACTGGTTTACATGTATACTCTCAGGTGTGTAATGTACTATTTCAACGTCTACTTTTCTAAAACCTTGACATTTACCTCAGTAATAACCGCATATCGTATTGATTTTTCTATTGTTTCTCTGTTCGTTAATCACAAATCATGTAACGGATTCCGTTTTCTAATTACAGTATACGTTTTATTTGTTTTATTTTTATTCAAGTATTAGAAACGAAAAAGAAAAAAACGGTAGCGCTTCGGTTTCGTCTCGTCATTTACTTTTTAGAATCATGTCTGCCTACAAGAATAGGCTAATCAATCCTCTTAATTGTGTACATACGTCAACCATCATCTACAGTTCACATCAAAACATATACCGCAGGTGAACGAGATAACTTACACATTAAAAGATAAAAGATACTGAGACTGAAAATAGTATAGATTTATAATGATAAGAACCAGAAGATCAAGGGTATAAGGTCTGGTTCACCTACAGTTTCACAATATATGAGCCATGAATAATGTGGACAGTGAACGCCATCAGTTAAGTGTCGCCAAGGAGATACACCACAACCACCGGGAAGACCGCCTCGCCCCACCTGGCCATCAAGTGTATACTGGTGCACGACACCCCCGTCGCAACAACAACCACCTCACACGCACCTATCACGTGCACAAACGCGCACGTGCGAGCCATAAATAGTGTCATCTCTCCCGCTAGGCGCGCCATCTCTCCCTGTAGCCAGTGTTATCTTTGTTAGCTGTTGTGGCCCGGTCACCTGTCACTACTCCGCGGATGTCTACACCAGTTTCAAACTGCAAACAGTTTACAGACGACATATTTTACCAGGGAAAACGGTGAGCTGAGCTGCCGTGATGGTTGGGGGTGAGGTCGTACGTTACATCGCAAGGTCTATCAAAAAGAACTCATAGATTCCAGAGCAAGACATTCAGGAGCCAGAAGGAAGGTCCGACGATGGCTAGACCTCGAGAGAAGTTTGTGGGTTTGAAAACGACACCAGACGGGAATCTGCGGACAGTAGATGATGAACTGGTGTGATGTTATAAGAAGTATAATGTACTTCCTTGAATTCTAGTTCCTCAAATGAGTAGAATTGTATGTCATAATTTACAATAAAAGTGAGCTCGAGGAACATCATGTCATAATTTTTCATCATGTGACATGATGCAGTAAATTGGCAGAAAATAACAGTGCAAGAGGACTTGGGAAATGTTTGCACTTTTGGAGACGAGCACCCAGTCTCATTCGTATTGAAAGGGATAAAAAATCCAGATAGCTGAAGCAAGGTTGCCCGTGACGTCACTTAGCAAGGTTATATTTGTCACCATAGTCTTAAGGTCTAATCCGAGCTTCTAAATTCCATTTATCCCGATTTACAGTGGCTGAACATGGAACAGTAATGTGCAACAATAGAGTGAAGAAGATAAAGTTAGACATTTCCGGGAATTAGGAACTGAACTAAATTAGGTTAACGAAATATAGTGTCATGACCACAACTGCTGGCAGGGAACGGTGGTGCCACTAGTGCCTCTGTTATGGCACAAAATACACTAACTGTAGCTCCATCAATGTTTTTAATCTTTACATTATATCCCTGAAGAATAATGACTGGATTAAGATACACCAGGAACTGTATAACTTTATAGAGCTGCAAACCTTACAGATTCGTATAGAGCTACATACTGGGTTTTACACTGCAATCAGTTTCAGTACAAATAAATCTACTGTATTTTTTACTAAATCAAATGTATATTGTAGCCCTAAACAGCTTGCATGCTCTACGTCATTATTTCTTTATCTTTTAAAAAGTCACAATATGTACAGTTACCCACAAAAGTCCTGTCGCCTCTCCTGAACCACAAACAGACTCTTGAATCCGTGTCTATGCTGCCAGGGTGTCCTTTTCAGCCCCCTCGCTCACGACCGTGTTGTAACTCGATATTAGACACGGGTTGTTTAACTCGCTGCATTATAAACATATTAACACATTAATCTTTAAATGTCGAACAGCCGAATATGTTTCTTTTAATATTCTGTATATTTAAACGCTGTCTGCTGTAAAAAGAAAGAACGAGTCAACAGTGTACTTAAGTACAACATTAACAAATAAAAAAAAAATCAAATATATGCTTCTCATAGGTCAAGTGCCAGAAACAAGAAAGTGAAAACTCTTGTAGTTTTACGTGTCAAGGAGCCCCACACAACACTAATGGCAGTGTTCTTGTTCCTCAGGTGTAGCAGAAAGGCGGCGGCCTGGAGACTCGTTTTTAGGCCACCGTAAACACACATCGCTGCCCACTGTATATTTTCAGCCTTCTGGCTGCCAAGCTCTTTCAATAAACCGTTAATTATTATTATTATTATTTATTACTATCTACTGCACACCCCAAGAACTGTCAAAGGTTTCTGGTGGACACAGGCACATCCCCAAGTCATATTTATTCATCCTCCCTCACTGCAGCTATGGAGACTCAGACTGAGGCCTTGATGAGACACTCACAACCCACCACTAAGGAGTTCAAGAACTTCGACAGTCTCCTGACCACCTTGGGAGTGGGACGATGGACTCTCCTCATGTTTGGCTCATACTTTCTATGTGAGTACTGTACTACTTAACTGAAGATCTGTTATGTGTATATTTTTTTGTGTAATACACTACTGTACTTGTTTGTACACTCTGCTGATAACAACTGTGGTAAGTGTTTGGTGTTTATTATTTTTATCGGATGGATTCCTGACACTAAAGTTTTGCGATATACATCTATTAATGCAATAACACACACACACACACACACATATATATATATATATATGTGTGTGTGTGTGTGTGTGTGTGTGTGTGTGTGTGTGTATGTGTGTAATATAACTAAAACGTGCAATTTAATTTGATAAAGAAATTATTCAGTTAGTGTATAAACAGAAAGTAAAGGATAAAATTATTTGTCCAAAAACACAACTTCCACAAGAAAACCTGAGGATATTCATTTATAAACTGGGATTTTTAAACCAGAAAAAATCGGGTGTGTTCATACACTAAACAATAGTAAATGGACACATAGAATTACAAAGAGTCTGAAATGAACACTGTAAGAGAAGCTAGGCTAAAATGGTACAGTACTCCATGTGTACCCCATCTACTCACAGAGAGTTGCCAAGCGGACCCGTTCATCTATCAGTGTCCCTCTACTGCAATGGATATTTTTGGCCGAGACCTGCGGGCGCTGAGGTTCAACAAAAACAAGCAGACCGCGGAAAAATTTTTATATTGGCGCCGCTACCAATGTCTTATTTTTCATTGGTAAGCCACTGAATCGTCTCCTTTTTTCTCGCCTTTGCATATTTCCGCCTTTTATTTTTACATAACGTACTCAGGACATGTTTCCTGTCCGGGCTTAGTAGGTCATCAAGAACTGAAATATTATATACGAGTACGGTGTGTTCTCATTGTTTTTCCCTAGAGTTTTCTTGGCCTTTTCTACACTAAGATTACCGACATGTGTGGCAGCTTGCGTTGTGATCGAGTCCATTTGAAATAACGTTGCCCAAGATAATTATTACATGCTCAGTATATTACTAAGCTCAGTCATACCTCAGCAGTAGTCTAGTTTAAGTCAAAGGTCACTTATATCGGTATTTAGTCTTATCAGAGAAAGTTAGTATTCGTTTGGTGGTATAACAGGTATGGGTGACAGCGGTTAGTTAGATTCACATTAAAAGTAGGTAACAAGTCTTGGCAAGAGCGTGCTACGATTCTGTAGGAGATTTTGTTACGGTGGTTCTTTACGTAAGGACGATTGCTTTGACTCGTTTATTCAGGTGGATGTATATACCACTTCCAAGATTTAATTAGTATTCATTTTTCAAAGTCGGTGGATATACTGCAGTACATGTGATTAGTAAAGTGAGATGAAAATTAATCCAAGGTTTTTATCCAATGTTTTTGAAGTGCCGCTGACGTCCATTACCAGAGGTACTTGGCTTCAACATTGGTTTCACATTTTTTTCTTTTTCGTTTTCAGTGTAAATTATCTTGCGGCTGCCAAGATGGTTCAGCTCTCCTGCCATGCTTCTCAGCTATGATTTCTCGTCTACTTATAGTGCGTTGTCAGTCCACGTGTCGGCAGCGTGAACCTGGAGCCGCAAGGAGTTGGAATTTCTAAATATTCTGATGACCAGACATTGAGATGAGGCTGTCTCTACCTAACCATCCTAGCTTGCGTTCCTGGGTCTGGCTCTTAAGTTAGACTCGGATTATACTGTTGATGAAAAGGAAACATTTAGACCGTAACGACTGAGGTAAAATCTTTGATGACAGAGTGTGGCGGCTGAAAAAAATTTCGTAAAGACTTGAGGACCTTTACGACATAAAGATAAACGTGCGGTGTTGGGTATCGTCAGTAACTTGTACACTGAGGGAGACTTATGTGTTTCAGGGGCGTTGTTGCTGCCTTATTTCTCCCTGGGAGGCGCCTTCTACAATCCCGCCGTGGACCACTGGTGTCGCGTCCCACAACTTGACAACTCTTCCTGGACCCTCGAGCAGCGGCTGAACTACTCTATACCCAGGTACACTGACCCCTAGTACACCACTTCATGCCCTAGTACACTGATCTTTAAGTGCACCTCTCCAATAACCTGGTACATTGGCCCGTATTCTGTATACCCTGGCATATTGATCCCTAATATGCCCTGGTACACTCCCCCTTTTCCCCTGGACAATTCTAAATAAGGTAATGGCTGCTCTTGAACTGCTGTTTAAGAGATATTCATACTTGCCCTTAAAACATTATCGATATTAATATATTCATGATAATTAACCTGCTAGGTCCGGTGCTTGGCCGAGCTCTATTGCCAGACACCAGATACAACATGTGGTATTTCTCTCGAGTAAGAGTATTGTGGTGATGGTGATGTTGGTCGGCAGGGAGGAGAGTGGCGGGAGGTCGCAATGTCGTATGTTCGTGAGGGACTACGGTGCCGTGGAGGGCGTTCCCTGGACCCCTGACCTCCAGACATCACCGGAAGAGGCCGCTACCCTCCAGATCCAGGATTGTGACTCTTGGCAGTATGACACCTCCATCTTCTCCACCACTGTCTCTATGGAGGTGAGGCCTAGTAACGAAGTATCGTGACATTATGACTTATACCCGAATTAGATTTTCTTAGACCATCCACGTGAGCATTTACGCGTCATATATCACAGCTTGCAATAAGTTAGGTATATTTCCCCCAATGGTCAGGATATTTGTGGACGAGTCGGGGTTTTGAAACAGGTTGAGAGTATCACTTATGGGATTCACACAAGATGTTATATTAAAATGTATAGCGTAATATTTCACGTCTTCTTGTAATGCCAAATAATAGTTATACTGTTATATATTTCGCTACATATTATTACATTCAAATGGATGGGTGCTTTTGTTCCTTTGTACTGTATTGTATTTTATAAAGATATTTTACACACACATAACATAATTATATTTTTCTCGCAGTGGGACCTGGTATGTGGGAAGGCCAGCCTCAGTCCCTTCTTCCAGAGCTTCTACTTCTTTGGCACAGCTGTTGGGGAACCTCTCATGGGTTTCATTGCTGACAGGTGAGAGAGAGAAATCCAACCTGCCCTAATCACTGTTTTTGTATCAATAGGACGTATATTTTGTGTCTAAATATCTCTACACATGACTCTGAAAAGCTCTTGACCAAGGTAGTGGTGGTGTGATTGCAGGTACGGTCGGCGGCGGGTGGTGATAGCATCGACGCTAATTTTTGTGTTGACTGCCACCTCCTCTGCCTTGGTGCCCTTGTATTCCTTGGTTCTCGCTGGGCGCTTCGTACTGGGCATGATCCATCCCATCATAGGGCCATCTTATATCCAAGGTGGGCATGTTAGCCTCAAGTTTGTCCTCTGCAACACTAATGAACTGTAGTACTGTCCTCCAGGGTTCCCATCATACTGCCCAAATGGTAATGAATTTTTGTGTTTCATCACAGGACCACAAGTTCATGGGATCAGCTTGTATTCGAGGTTGGGATTGACTTCTTACACTGTAAATAAACTAAAATCAGCATCGCTGGTTCTGTAGTATGTCAAATTTTTTAGTGATTCAAATGTTTATTTTGTCTTCAGGAATGGAGGCGTGTCCAGCCAAGTTACGCACAGTTCTTGGTCTCCTCTCTACCACGCCCTTCGCCATCACCGGTATGCTGTTCGGTATGTGGGCCTACTTCATCCGTGATTGGCGAAACCTGCAGCTACTGTGTACTTTTCCAGTCGCTTTCCTCCTCCTTCAGATACCGTAAGTCGTTTCCCGTACCTGTGAAGCTCAAGGTAAGATTAACGAGACGAGATGAGATACTTTATCATCAGGGCTCCAGTTATGTGATGAATACCAGAACTCTTAATTTTATCCCCTAGATTTTAAACAAGGTAACCACAACAGCAGCTTTAGTAGTGATAAGAGTAGTAGTAGTGGTAGAAGAGACCAGCGACTGTAAGGACAGGTAGCGAGCGCCACCCTTATAGTAGTAGTAACAAAAATACGTGTATTAAGAGTAATTATATATATGGTTGAGGAGTGAGCGCATATATGACAAGTGTTCGTGATGTATTCCCAGATTCATGGACGAGTCTCCGAGATGGTTGATGATGCAGGAACGGTACGAGGAAGCTACAAAGATCCTCCGGAAGGCGGCCCGTTGGCAGGGAGTTTCCCTTCCTCAGCACAAGGAGCTCGTGGAACTCCTCAACAAGTTCAAGCTGGAGGTGACTGTTACTTAATATTAGGTGAAACAGTCACGGTTTTGTCTTAGGAACGATTGTCTGAATTTAAATGGCGTCAATGATTATATTAAAGCCGATGTTACACGAATACAAAAATTCTTCAAAATAAAGACAACGAGTTCAGTAAATTCCACAAAACATGGTAGTTAACAAGATTGCCATTTGTTGTTTATCCCAATATTAACAATGGCCACGAATCAACAGAATGAGGCTGAGCGTCGGCCAGCAGTCAGCGGGTCGAGTCTGGGAGCGAGTCGTCGACTGGCTATCTGGTGGCAGGACATTACGGTGTTGGTAAGGACCACCACACTCCGCAGGATCACTATAGGACTCTTTGGCTGCTGGTTCTGCACAGGACTCACCTACTGGGGCATGAGTCTCTCAGGCACGACGTTCAGGTGAGTTAATGTCTAAAACTTGACCTATTGTGCACTAAATGAAACAACTTCCATAGTATTTTGGAACAATCAAGGCAGAACAACAACAAAATGACTCGTCGCTAAACAAAGAGACAAAACTATACCATTTGATAGTAGTTAAGGGAAGCACTAGTGGGGAGGTGATATAATTATTGTAGTAGTTAACACAAAATTGTCTTCCCCGGGCAGCAACGATCCCTTCCTCTACATGGTACTAAGCTCCCTCATGGAGATCCCCGGCTACAGCGGCTTCACCCCTGTCGTGGCTCGCTTTGGCAGACGCTTAGTCCTCTCGGTCAACTTCGCCGTCTGCGCTGCCGCCATCCTCACTATTCTTGTCACGCCAAGTAGTAAGTGAATCACGATCGAGTATTTATTATTATTATTTTTTAATTCATATATATATATATATATATATATATATATATATATATATATATATATATATATATATATATATATATATATATATATATATATATATATTAAATATACTTTCTATAGTTACAACATTTCTCACACCATTTAGTTACTTGTTTGTATTGGTAGTTTCATCTCCTGGACGTAATGTTTGAATAATTTTCGTTAACAATTAATTATTAGTACAACAGGCTCTTAGAAGTTATATTACCTAATAATGTTGTAGTTAGTAGATATTGGACAGATCTAGACAAATGCATAATAAAAAGGTGCATAATAATGTAGAACTTAATAAACCTCTTGTGTGTCTTCTGTTAAGCTCTGCAGGTAGTGGATGTCAGTGAGTGTTATTAATCACCGGGAACCCCCACAGGTTACACGTGGATGATCTTCTCCCTGGCGCTGGTGGGGAAGCTCTTCATCACAGGCAGTTACGGAGTGCTGTACTTGGCCGCCTCTGAACTCTTCCCCACCTGTGTTAGGTCTCGGGGCCTGAGTTTGTCTTCTTTGATGGCTCGCCTCGGCTCCATCGTCTCACCCTTCATCATCAAGGTGTTGGTAAGTCTATCTGTTCACTTACTGTAATGTTCAGTGGTCAGCATGGAATCCTTTTAGTGAATTTCTCGAGCATCTTCATATGGTTGAATCACTCCTAATACACATTATTGTTCCAGGCTGCATCACACTGGTGGGCGCCTTCTGTGATGTTCGGGGTATGTGCGGCAGTGGGTAGCCTCATGGCCCTGTTGTTACCAGAGTCTAACCACAAGCCTATGCCTGACACCGTGGAACAGCTGGAGCTCCTCTATGGCAGCAGATCTTCCTCTACCAGCAGCATTGGGGAGAAAGGTGCTGGTTCCTCCCTCAACTCCAAGGACAGTGACTGTGAAGAAGCAGCAGGTGTCTGAAGGCCATGTGTGTAGTGTTGAAGGAATTATCCGCAAAAGTGTACTTTAATCAGTTCCAGTTGTTTGACAAGTTCATATCTGTCACTTTGACAGTTACCTTAGTCATTGTATGAAGTCCTCAGACTTCTGTGAGCTACTTTTGGAAGAAAAAGAAGTGGCACGACTAGCATACTATACAGATCTCTTGGTTTAAATAAACAAACACATATAGAATATAACCAGATAACATAAAAGTTAGCTGTACATATTTTATGTTATATGCAAAGCACAGTTGCAGAGCTCAGAAACACGGCGACACCATTCAAGTTTCTGTCTTCCTGACTGTACGAGCTGATGAGCGATTTCGTTTTGCAGGACACAGGAATTATATAAGTTATAATAATTTTCGTTAAAATTTATATATTTATTAGTTCTATATAATAATATTACGAGTGACTATAGGGATAGCTATACTGTAGTATATCACAATAGGGATATAAAATTTAGTTATATTTTTTATACTCTGATGAACTCTGGGTAATATTAACGATTACCTGTTACCAAAAATTACCAATTAATGAGAGGCAGAAATAGCACCTGCACTTGGTTGATAGATGATTTATACGAGATGTGACAATATGTTTTAGGTTGTGTGACGGAACGCTTACATTCTCATTGTCAGGAATGATTTAATGATTACAAACTTGCTTAACGACTGTATGTTGAGTAAAATATAAATATATTAGGTTGTTGACCTTCGAAAAATAAGTTGTTAGAAACGTTGATGCAGAAAATTAAGATGATATCATCAGGAAATTAGTGGAATAAAGATGATAGTGTTTTAGTCAGCCTTCACGGAGTACCAAAGTGCCTCCAGTCTAGTGACTTAGCTGGCCATCGACGTTGTAACCCATGTTAAAAATTTTCAATTGGACACAATTTAGTAAACAATCCAGTTCATTTTATATATAATTTAAATAATTATGTAGTGCATATGTAGTGCATATTACCATCGTAATGAACGATGGTAATATGTGTTTTCGTGAGGAAATGTAAATAAAGGAAGTTGATTGTTAATTAAATCTATGTAAGATAAAGTTGAATGTGACTTGTAAATGATTAAACGGAGGATGTATTGAAAGAGTTGAAAATAAATATTAATGGAGTTAAGATAAATTCCTGGAATGTCACAGAAAACTGGCTAAAGCTAAGTGTGTAATTTTGTAGTTCGCCGAGAAGATAGATGCTATTTCCACTGAGTTATGCTAATGATACAAGTGAAAGACGAAAATGTATATGTTCCTAAAAAATATGAAGAATGAAGTAAAGATTTAATATGAGTGACGGTAATTCAACATTATGAGGGTGATCTGTTATTAGTGAGGAAACAAATGAGTGTTAAGGGGTCTGTGACGTCTACACAATACAAATATTAACTGGAGCGACATGTTGAAATTATACAACCAAAGATGACTGTATGCGGTGTATGGATGTGTGTGTGGATGAAGTACAAGTATAGGTAATAAGATAATTAAACAGTTGGTGTTTAAAAGACACTGTTTGTTAATGCAGGGATATAGAAAGTATACTGTATGTATATATATTTATACGGAGATGCAGTAATGAAATATGAATACTCTGTACGGATATATCATGCAGATGGTCTCAGTTGTTGCAATTAATGACATTTTGTTTTACCTCACTACGAAGTGGAAAAAGAATATCCTTTGTCAGTTTTGCTCAAGATTGTAGTTTAGAATTTTAATGCACTAACTTAAGATATCTATAATTACTTTGGACTAAGTTTTTTATGGAAGTATTTTTACGCTGCCTCAGTTCACCACTGTGATGTCTTCTGGTGAACCCAAACTTAAACAACAGACTAATATAATACATACAGTAGTTGTTATGTGATATATGACTTGCTGGAGATGATGGTGTCACATCCTTAACGTCACGTGATGATAAAGTTTAAAAGTCAAACTTTTCAATCTTAAATTCCTAAAAATTAATTACTTTCTTAAACACGATGTGTTTAATTTATTCTTTACGTGTTTGTTGTTTCAAAAATAGTTTTGTTCCTTGACCTTACTAACTTGTTTAGTTAAGTGAAAGGTCTCAAATATATTTGTGTTATGATTATTTTATACTTTACAACTGTAAATATAGCAGTTGGTTACCTATTTACTATGTAAATATGTTTCGTAATTAAATTTATATTTTAGTGCGATATATTGAGTAACGTGACGACCTGTGTTATGTTACAGAGTATATTACAGTAGTGTTCTACCTGATGAAGCTTCCCTGTTATTCTTACAGAGCTTTACAATGCTCACTTGACACGTGTTACTGATTGCAAAATATATCAAATATTTTTTAATATTGATATTTAATCATGCTGTGATTTGTTAAAGTTATGTATGAAATTATATATTATACATTATATAAATAGATAAATAGATAAATAAATAGGTTCAGAATACAGGTATATATATTTGGGTTAAGTAAATTTAACTATTCTCAAAATTACTTTTAGATCTACACAAAGTTCTTAGTTTCATTGTAACAGTAGTAAGTCCCCTTGAATTTTTCTTAATTCAACAATATAAGGCTTATACCAGTGCCTTTTTTATCTTGTAACCTTTCCCCTAAATAAGTGAATGTTTAAAAGAGAAATTGTGTGGCGGCTGATGTAACAGATACATGACTTGTATGTTTTTATAGTTATTATGTATCACGAAGACCCAAATAAACTTTCACGTTTCTTGTTACACAGTTGTTTATTGAGTATTGCATCATTCATTTTTATTATGTTTTTCCAATATACTGTGCCTGATTACTGTGGCTTTACCCGGGAACTTGGTAGTACAGTGTTTTCTTGCCATAAACCTTCGTCAGCTCACACTCACATCATCCTGCTTCATACATCTTCAGTCGGCGGAAAAAAAGGACACATCAGTAAATACATTTTATATCAACACTCGCGTGATCAATCTCTACTGGGACAAGAACTACTCGTAGCAAGCTAAACCCATGCACGATCGACTTTTGTTTTGATTTTCTCTTTGGTACTTAATGGATCTGTATTCTAGATAATAAAATAGATAAGTCAGTAAGGATTCAATTCAGAAAAATATAATGAAATAAAGTAGTGGATGTAAGCTAAACATTGACTCACAATGTTGTCAGCTGAGATACAGGTGATCCAGTGGCCTTCAGCCATACAGGTGAATAAAATTATTTAACCTATTAACCTGCCATTAAGACAAACGCTGACGATATAACGTAAACACGACAGTAATACATCCACTTATCATCAATTATTCGACTACTGTATAATAAATGACCTACGTACGTATTACCACGAAGTACAACCTTTTGAAATGTAATTTGTATATTTATGAGTTGCAATTTGCTGATCGTTAGTCAGATATATAAAAAATGACAGATAAATTGATAGATACACAATTAGTCAGTAAAACTGTCATTCCAATTCACAATGATTCCACCTGTATAAAAACAGTGACAAAAATTGCACAAGAGCGCGACTTAGGTCTTATCATATACTTTCGTCGAAAATACTAATGTGATCAATGACTGAATTTTGTAAGAAAATTCCAAATAGTGTCATCCTAAAGATCCCAAAGGTATATCAACTAACGACAAATACAACACCAGTGAATTGCCAGGAATAATCGTAAAAGCTATAGTTATCCGTCAAAACATTTAAAGAAAATAAAACCATGAACCATCAAAGAAAATAATTCTCCAATGATATGGAGTAACTATTATTTATTCAGTTCACACCAACGCTGAAACGAAGATGACCTTATTCAGATACACAATATCAGCGTAATGCCTCACGGATGCCAACAGTGTTCTACGAGGTACTAAATAACCCACGGTGTCTCTTAATATTCCACGGATATCAACAACGATCCATTTATACAATAACTAATGGGTATGTCTACAATGACCCATGGGTGTCTACAATGAGCCATAGGTGTCTACAATGGTCCATGGTTGTTTACAATGACTCACAGGTGTTAAAAAGAATCCAAAGGTGCGGATAATAATAGGCAGGTGTTTACAATGTCACGTGAGTATCTACTATAGTATACGGGTTATTGGCTTGTAAAATTCGACTATTACCTGTAAAACACACGAGTCGGCTTGAAAAAACTCGACTTTGAGCTGAAAAAACGCTTAGTGACTTAAAAATGCTGGACTGTTGGCTGGGAAAAAAAAACAAGTATTGGCTTGATTCACAACTGACTGCAACACTGAGTTGCAGACAGAACAAGATCAAGTGGAATTTAAGTGTCGCCAGGAGGTGAATAACGGTGTCAGGGGTGAGTATCGGTGTCAGGAGGTGAATGGCGCAGCCAGAAGGTGAGTAACGGTGTCGGGAGGTGAGTAACGGTGTCAGGAGGCGAGTGGCGCAGTCAGGAGGTGAGTAACTGTGTCAGGAGGTGAACAGAGCCGTCAGTAGGTGAGTAGGGCTGACTACTTAATTAATTTACGTTGTAATTAACCATTCCCTGTGGTTTATCGCCCTTGACTTCCGGCCTGTCAAGAGCACTGAAGAAATCTTTTGTTTCATGTCAAGAGCGAGTACGATAGAACAGACTGCTGGTGTTTTCCTCTTGTAATGCCGACTAACTGTATCCTTCACGTGGAATACAATAACACGGCAATAATTTGAGTGTAGTGCGTAAAGATATATATACGTTTATGATGATGAATATGTTAATGGTGGGAGGTGTGAGGTTTTTGTCTGTGAGGTTGCGGGGTTATGAGTTGATTACGGGTGTTGTGTGTGTGTGTGTGTGTGTGTGTGTGTGTGTGTGTGTGTGTGTGTGTGTGTGTGTGTGTGTGTGTGTGTGTGTGTGTGTGTGTGTGGTCATAATTTTCCATAACCTTCACTCAATATCAAAGGAATGTGAGAAAAACAGATACTCTATACACCCACAACACACACACACACACACACACACACACACACACACACACACACACACACCATGTGATGCCCCTCATAACACCATCTATGAGGGAATTACTACACCACATCAGGCCCCTCATACACCAACTGTGAGGGAATTACTACACCACATCAGGCCCCTCATAACACCATCTGTGAGGGAATTACTACATCATCAGGTCCCTCATACACCATCTGTGAGGTAACTACTACATCATCAGGCCCCTCGTAACACCATCTGTGAGGGAATTACTACACCACGTCAAGCCCCTCATAACACCACCTGTGAGGGAACTAGCACTCCACGTGATGCCCCTCATAACGCCATCTGTGAGGGAGTTACTACACTACGTGTCTGCTGTTCAACACCTCAGCTCACATGATCTACGTGTGTAAACATTAATCTGTATGTTCACTGTATGTTCCTTTACCTTTCTCTAATGAAGACTTTTGTTAAACCACCAATGTATGTAAAAAGTCATTTATGTCCAATGTACTGTATATTTTCAGCCTTCGGGCTTCAAACTTTTTCAATAAACCGTTTATTATTATTATTTTATTATTGCACACACACACACACACAACGTTTTATTAACACAGGTTTCTCAAACTGGCAGATAAGGGAAAAAAAGATAAGAAAAGTGATTTCCTACACATGTATACTCACTGATACTCCCAGCGATAAGCACAAGTGTCGGGGATATTCACTCTCGATGACTCAACCCAGACTCAGCCAATCATCTCAACTGCCTCACATTTATCTGCCTGACATGTAGTATTGTTCTCACTCTATGTTTACTCCACGTGTCTGCACCCTCACTCAATCAACCAGTCGGCGCAGAGACAGATGGAATTAGTCTGAGAGAGAAGATGTATTGAACCCTCTGCTGGTTAAGTATTTGACCGTGTCATGTTTTGATTTCATCCTCAGCGTGTGTAAGTAAGGAATACTCTATGTAACTTTATTTCCCCACAACACACACACACACACACACACACACACACACCTACACTGTCACTATGTTGAAATGAACTGTATTTTGAGCTGATCCCCATCTAAGTTACTATATGTCTTATTTGTGTCACTTATGTCACTTGTATATTATTTGTAATTCGTAACCCATTCCCCAAATATGTAACTGTATATTTTCAGCCTTCTGGCTGCCAAGCTCTTTCAATAAACCGTTAATTATTATTATTATTATTATTACCCACACATACACACACACACACGATTCTATAAACACTAATCGCATCATCCTTCTTTTAGTCCTTCCCAGTCACAAAACAACATGATCTATATAGTCGAGTTGTATCATCATTCGCCTCATTCATCCCGTTCTCTTCTGGTCTAAGGAATACCCTATCCCTATCACATCTATCTATCCACATACAAACTAATCCATCACAAAGTTCAAAATAAAGACACCAAAGAGACAACATCTAATCACTAAAGTAAGAGTGTGTATCGTCTCTGGGTTGGTAACTCCTGGCTTGACGCAGCTTCTCTGTGTAGTAGGCAGAGATTATCCCTGGCTGTGTATGAAACATTCACGCTTTCAGTAGCACGCAGCTGCCTCCCCGTGCATGGTGAATCTCACACTAGAGAGAATAATCTGTGAGCGGAGATGATAAGCCCAGCCAACCTAACAGAGAGAGGCTGAGTATACACTAGGAGGAGGCGACCTTCCCACCCCAGAATTTACAATTTCGACGAACCCACGCCAAGAAAAAAGGTACAATTAATACGCGAACGCACACAAAGAATAATGATTAAAAGAAAAAGTTAATTCACATCTCACAAATGCAGGTCTTAGCTAAGTCTTACCTGAGAGGGATAATCGTTTAATCCTCTCACCAAATTAAAAGATTTTGAATACAGTGGAGATGGAGTTAAATCTGCTCTCTCTCTCTCTCTCTCTCTCTCTCTCTCTCTCATACACGTTTCACCTCTTTGTGCTGTGCCTAAAAGGCCTTTGGGATAAACACTGTAATGTAAACAGCTGGTGTTTAATTTTGTTTTTGTGCAAAATTTTTGTTTAGTGGTGTTTGTGTGCCTGTGTGAGTGTGGGTGTGTGTGTGTGAGGGTATATGGCTTTAAGTTCGTTTGTTTGTGCGTGTGTGTGTGTGTCTGTGTGTGTGTGTGTGTGTGTGTGGGTGATGATGTTAAGTTCGTGTGTATAAGAGTATACTGTATTGTGTTAGTTTCGTTTCTATGTAAGACAAAAAAAAAGTAGCCCCGTATCTCTTGGAAAATATCTATGAACTATCATCATATTGCAAATCTTGTCCACCTTTACCTGTATATATATGTTTACCTGTACTAATTGTTTACATTATATCCATGGAGATATCTATGTACAGTCACCTTCACTAGTGTGTTTACGGGGGCTAGTCAGGTTTTGTGCAGTGTGGCAGCCCTGTGATTGTTTACATTCGACAAAGGGAAAATAACAATACCAAACATACTATAGAATCAAATTAAAACAATAAACATATATCTCAAAGATAATGATTTGTGTAATGTTAATATGACGAGCCCCTGTAAACGCACTAGTGAAGGGGACTGTATATATAACTCTGTAGCTGTACTATTATATCGGTACTGAAGAATGAAGTAAAATACAATCCATATTATTATAGCGGAGTAATTCGTTTCCCTGAACTTTCCTCATCTCTTCCCCCCTCCTCGCCCCCCCCCCCTCTCTCTCTCTCTCATTGCACTTCCGCCCTACTTATTGCTTTTTTCCCCCTCCTCTCACTGGCATAACTTGCAGCTCAAAGTTT